CTAGTGGCAAACATTAATTACAACATAACTTCACACCATATTCATTTATTTAAGTATAGTAACAAAGTCATTGCAACAACTAATTACTCGTCACAATTCTCATAAATTAATGACAAAACTTGAAATCAACACAATTATTGTCACAATATAGTACTTTTTGTTACGGAATTATAGAGCGTCACAAATATTTGTAACAATTTTATCACAAAAAATGACAATATTAGTGACAATAGTTTTTTTTTTCTCACAATTGTTTCTCATTTCTAATGGTACTAACCAATTGTATTTTTATTGACAAAAAAAGTTGTCACAAATATTATAAACAAGAGTGACCAACAATTATTTGTCACAAAAAGTACAAAAATTTGTGTCCACATTATATTTTGTCACAATTACATTCGTTCACGCTATAATTATAATGCCGCCAAAATGCACATACATTTAGTGACAATAAATAGTGACAAAGTATGTTACGACACTATTATTCTAGTAATAGTGACAACTTATTCGTAACAAATACTTACTTGTCACAATTACCATACTATCAGTGACAAAAAAAAGTTATCACAATTATCACACACAATAGTGTCGAATTATTTGTTTGGTCACAAAAAGAGTATTATTTGTGATTAAATTACGAATTGTCACTAAATATTTTTATTCTTTTAGTGTCGATCCCTGATCATTCTTTTTAACTTTCACCGTATGACCAGTTGAGCTGTCTAGGGGAATAACATATTCAATTCATGGGTTAGCGCATGGTGTTATGGGAGAGACACTTTTGATCTATCAAGAGTTGTTGTCACGTACTTTTCAAAAGGTTAATTTACTTCAATTTGCCCCTTGAGGTTTAATTGATATTATTTATAAGTGTAGTATTAGTACAGGAGGGGTTGGTAACACTGCTCATTTAGAAATTAAATTAAAACCGGTATTAGACAATAGAAAATCTAAATTTAAAAATAATAAGAAATAATATTAAAGAAAATAATGAAAGAAAAAAGAGTTAGAGTTAGCTTGACCAAAAATATATAGTAAACAAGATGTAAAATGGGACAAAGAAGTAAGTATTTAGTGGTTTACATTTTTGTATTCGTTATTTGGATGGGATATGATATTACTAACTCTAGTTAACTATGTTTTATAAAAATAACTATAATGGGTCGGACAATCCCAGACAAGTGTGGGAGTCAACTATTGGCGGCCATCTTGATTTAATAAAAAATAGTGATACATATAACATATTTACATATGTATTAAATTCATTATTACTTTAGAACTCATGAACCAAAAGTGTAATTCTTCTATTGATTTTCATAACAATTTCACACAAATTAAAATAAGGATTAAACAAATAATTTTTAAAATTTCGTTTTCTTTTAAAATAATCAATGGTAACTATATGGACCCTGCTAAACGAAGAATACCAGTCAAGTGAAGGATTTCTAGCTTCTCTAGTCTCCTAGCAAATATTTTAAAGGGTGAATCAACGATTTGGTCCCTCAGTTATTAGCGACTTGTCAATGTAGCTCCTCAATCGCGTATTCATCGATTTGGTCCCCGAAAATAATTGTTTTTCGTCAATTTAATCCCTATGGCCGTATTTCGTCAAGAATCAGGCGAGAGCTCCAATTTGCCCTGGGCATTCTGGTCATTTCTTATTCTCTTAGTCTATTCTCCATTAACTCTGACCAAGCTTCGCCGGAGAAGCTCAAGCTCGTCGGAGGGAGCTTCATCTCTTCTCTGCTCGTCGAAATGAGCTCACCACCGTATATCCTCCGCGCGAGCGTTCAACTCCGACGATCGCACAACTCCGTCGACCACAACCCGCTGTGCCGACCAATACTGCTGTTGTCGGCGCCGTCGCTTGATGAACAAAAAATGTGGCCGCCTATATTCACCGCTGCTTGGTACGCGTACTGATCGTCCCCGTCGTCCACCGACCTCATCCGCACGCACTGGAACGCCGCCGTCAGGCTCACTTCCGCCGGAAGATTCCCCATTTCTAACCCTAAACATCAAAAACCAAATAAATTAAAATGTAAAATCCACCCTCTATTTCAGATTTCAACATTGCCCAGACAGATAAAAAAAACAACGATTTCCTTTCTTTAATTCGTCTGGGGATGAGAGAGAGAGAGAGAGAGAGAGAGAGAGAGAGAGAGAGAGAGAGAGAGAGAGAGAGAGAAGAAGAAGAAGAAGAAGAAGAAGAAGAAGAAGAAGAAGAAGAAGAAGAAGAAGAAGAAGAAGGTGAAAGGAAACCATCCAAAAAAAGTAAAGCTTGATGGGTTTTACTATTTATTATTGAGTGTAAAGGGTTAACTTCAAATCTGATCACGTACGCAATAATCTTGGATTTAATTTCTTGAGCAATATAATAAGATTGGGGGGTTAAAAATTTGCAGAATTTAGGATTAGTGAGAAAATTACCGGCAGGTGTGGTGGGAAAACGAGCAGAAACAAGAGATGATGAATTATTAGTGGATGGATCTTCTCTATGCCTTTAGAGGGTTAATTATCGACGAGCAGAAGAGATGGAGCTCCCTCCGGCGAGCTTGAGCTTCTCCGGCGAAGCTGGGTCAGAGTTAATAAAGAAGAAGGCGTGAAAAGACCAAAATGCCCAGGGCAAATTGGAGCTCTCGCCTGAGTCTTGACGGAATATGGCCATAGGGACTAAATTGACCAAAAACAATTATTTTCGGGGACTAAATCGATGAATACGCGATTGAGGGGCTACATTGACAAGTCGCTAATAACTGATGGACCAAATCGTTGATTCACCTCACCCTATTTTAAATATCATTTTTATTTATGAAAGAGTTAATACCCATTTTGGTCCCTCAACTATTAGGTAATGCACAATTTAGTCCCAAACTATTAAAAGTATCCAATTTAGTCCTCTAAGTTGTAAAATCATACCCAATTTGGTCCTCCGTTACAATTGTCATCCATCCACCATTATAAAGAGGGACAAAAACATCCTTTTATCTAAAGTCGAGGGTCCGAAATTGGTATTAACTATTATTATTTAATAGTCAAGGGACCAAATGGGTATTAACTTTATTATTATTATTATTATTATTATTATTATTATTATTATTATTATTATTATTATTATTATTATTATTATTATTATTATTATTATCCAAAAAAATTATTATTATTATATTTGATATTGGTACAATGTCTCCTACCACCATATTACTTCCTATTATTTAAAAAACTAAAATGTACACACACACACAAAAAAAAAAAAAAAACATGGGCGGTCTTTCTTTCAATTTTTTTTCCCTCTCCTGAGGCCCACAAAAAAAAACACTATCTCTCCGGGGTTCAAAATTTATCTCCTCCTTCTCTATCCTCCAACTCATATTGGACCCCACAAAAAATCATAGATGGGGTTGCTCATAGTTTAATTTTGTATATCAAGACTAGGGGAGTGCAATCGGTTAACCGAACCGTTTTAATCAAAATTTTTAAAACTTTAACCGTTAACTAAACGGAATTTTGTATTACTGAATTAACTTAACAGAAATTTTTTTCAGTTAATCGGTCGGTTAAATCTTAAAAATAATACATATAATAATAAATCTAATTAAAATAATACATATAATAATAAATCAATAAGAAAATATACAAAAACAATACCATAACAATATCACAAATTTATAGGGATTTTACATATTATATATATATATATATATATATATATATATATATATATATATATATAAATTTTGGTTAAGCGACAATTTCGAACCGAATTAACTAATTGTTAACCAAAATTTTAAAAAAACTTTAACCATTAACCGAGTCGAAAAAGTTTGGTTAAAACGGTTAACTGAACTTTAATTTGTCGGTTCGGTCGGTTAACTAAACATTTACCGAAGTTTGCACACCCCTAATCAACACAAGCATGTGGATCTTACGTACTTTCACAAGATTTCTTTCAAACAATCCAAGTCCGTCCAAGATCACAATAATTTCACTGCAAATCAAATCATCAAAAGATATCATTATGTTCCGAAAGGACTAAAGAGTGGTCAAGTGAGTGGAGCACTATTTGAAGATCATTATAGAATTCGATTTATGTCAACACTCTCCCGATTTTTGTGCACATATAAACTAATGATTGCGAATTTTTTTCGTCACCAAAAAAAAAAAGAAGCAATTATATGGTGGCGGGGGACATTATCCCAATATCATCAACAACAACAATAACAACAACAACAACAACAACAACAACAACAACAACAACAATAATAATAATAATAATAATAATAATAATAATAATAATACCCATTTTGGTCCCTCGACTTTAGATAAAAGACGATTTAGCCCCTCTCTATAACAGTGGATGGATGACAATTGTAACGGAGGATCAAATTGGGTTATTTTACAAGTTAGAGAACTGAATTGAATACTTTTAATAATTTGAGACTAAATTGCAAACTAATTAATAGTCGAGGGATCAAAATGGGTATTAACTCTTTATGAAAATAGTATTCGCAAAGGGAATAATTATTAATAGAAAATTTACATTAAGAAGGCTTCTTCTTCCAAACCATTATCTATTTGTCTGTTTGGATGAAGAAAATAAGCACTACCATAATAGTGCCATAATTTAAAAAATAACGTATGTATGTCTTCCTTTCTAGACCTATAGGCTGGTTGGATGATGGAGGACCAATCATCCTCCAACCTTCGCCAAAGCTAGGAAGGGATTAGATTACATGTGTCAAGTCAATAAAAGCATTCCACTTCATCAATTTAGAAGTGTAACATATTGATTACTGGTAACAAGGAGGTCATCAATTGCCTTTTCTTCTTTTTCAAGTTTAACGACTTATTATTAATTTGAAGTTTTTTGGAGTTAATACACAAATTGCATTATTCTAATAAAAATTTTGAGGACTTATTTCACATTTTTTTATTTTAAGTATTCTTTGATTGAGTGGATAGTAAGTGTAAAAGAAAAATAAATTATTTTGAATGGCCTAGCCTTTATAGCATAGAGGTAGTGCATTCGCTTCGTAAGTGAAAAGTTGTGAGTTCAATCCTCACTAAAGGCTTTTACCAACTTAGTGACTATACTATTTGGGGAAGTAATTAACCATAAAATCTAATATTCCAATTGTAGGTGATTAAAGTCACTTGGGGCATAATAATAGGTAATCAAACTATTCACTAACATGATTGAAATGGTTGTAATTTATTTAATAACTAGTTTTTTTACGCGTAAGTAATTAACGTCACTTGGGGCATAATAATAGGTAATCAAACTATTCACTAACATGATTGAAATGGTTGTAATTTATTTAGTAACTAGTTTTTTTACGTGCAAAGATAATATAATGTCCAATGATTATTTTTAAATAAGTATTTAAAGTATATCAATACAATATTATATAGGAGATGTTCATGTATAGGTAAATAAATGTTGAATTTGTTTATTTAAATAGGTAATTTAAAGTATATAAATGCAAGATAATATATGAGAGATTGATTGTAAATGTCACTAAAATAAATGCTTGCAACTTTGTAATAAATACTATTTTCGGTTTAAATTTCTCTAATTCTTCTTAATTCTCTTTTTGGTAGCATTATCATCGTCTTCATCTTCAGTACATGTCATTTTTTCTATTGGTAGTGTGCCATGTGCAATTGGGTTACTGGTGGTAGCACAGAGGGATTTATTATGCAATGAGATTATAGTGTATTAAGCTTTATGTTTACCTTGCTGTGTATATGACTAGAATCTTAGTTATACTATTTCAACCAATTAAGTCCCTAACTTTATAATTTTAACACAATTTGGTCATCTGTCTATTTGACCGTTTGTTGACTGTGATTTTTGAGGATATATATGTAATTTCATTGTCCATCGTCGGTTTTTTAAGGTTCTGGTTGCATTTCCAGACCGCACTGTTACATTTGAATCCACTGCCGAAAGCAACCTACCAAATCCGGTCGCCTTTCTTCATCCTCCCTTTGGATTCAATGTAGTTGAGTTCATACTAGAGCGAAGAAGACGACGTATTTCCGAACCAGTGCAACGTCATCCTGGAGGCCTCCATGTGCTCCGACGAGAGTTGAAGGTTCTTCTGGAGATCGTCGATCACAGTCAACAAATGGTCAAATAGATGGAGGACCAAATCGTGTCAAAATTACAAAGTTAAGGACTTAATTGGTTGAAATTGAAAGTCGATGATCAATTTGTGAATTTAGCTATAGTCGAGGGACCATTTTGGGTATTTACTCTTGTATTTATGATCAACAACTTTGTAGTTAGGTCGCGCAAGTCTGACAATGATGTATGAACAATTTTGTCCGATAAAAAAAATAATAGCATAATATTTGTAAAGTAATGTACAATTGTACCATTATAAAAATACATACAAAAAAATATTAATACCATAATGATCTAAATCATTCAAATAATGCAAAAGCATAATTAAAATATTAAATTTTATTCTAAATAATCAAAAGAAGATTAATTAAATGAGAGAAAAAAAAAACAAACAAACAAACTTAACCTATTTTTTTTTTAATGCAAAAAAAAAATGATTTTCAAGTTCCTAATTTATATCTTTAATCCTCAACTTTGAATGTTATGTATTTAGTCGGGTTAATTATTTGACCAAACTTTAATTGGGATGAGTTTCGAACCTAAGACATTTCTCATAGAAATTAATAAGTTAAGAATAACAAATAGTTAACGGAATATTCCGTTACTATAGTTTATACTAACGAATTTAGGGTTATTTAAGGGAGAAAATAATATAATAGATGATAAATGAGAAAAATTATTTAAAAATATTAAAATCAAAATAATATGAACCTGATGGAATAATATAATAGTGCTATATTATTATTATTATTATTATTATTATTATTATTATTATTATTATTATTATTTATGAGGGAAGATGCAGTCAGAGAAGAAAGAGTCAGGCCAAGAAAATAGGAACATTACGTGGCCTTAATATTAGGGGAGGTTACAACTTGAGAAAGGTGATATTATATAAAGGCTCAGGAAAACAGAGGAGGCTCACGTCAGTCTCAAATATAAAATCTTCTCTTCTCACTACTACAGAAAAATGATTTAACGTCGCCATTATAACGTCGGTTTTTCGAAAAACCGACGTTAAATATTTAAATTTAATTTTTATTTTTTAAAAAATACATATGACGTCGGCTTTTAGGTACAGCCGACGCCGTATCTATAATATAAATAAAAAAAAATAAATATAGTATACGACGTCGGCTATTTATAAAGTCGACGCCGTATATCCTATAAAAAAAAGAATAAAAAAATATAGTATACGGCGTCGGCTACGTATATAGCTGACGCCGTATACTCGAATTAAAAAAATAAAAAAAAATATGTATATATATAGTATACGGCGTTGGCTACGTATATTGCCGACGCCGTATACTCGAATAAAAAAAAAAAAATATATATATATATATATATATATATATATATATATATATATATATATATATATATATATAGTATACGGCGTCGGCTACGTATATAGTCGACGCCATATACTCATTTAATACCTAATAACAAAATCGAAGACAGATCAGATCAACGCCGCGTCTCATTATCGTCTCATCGCCTCACCGCCACCAAAACCCTCCACCACCGCCACCGTATACTTATCTCCACCACCGCCACCGTATATTCAGCTCCACCACCGCCACCGTAGACAGATCAGATCTCTCTTCGATGCCTCGACGCTCGACGCTCGCCGCTCGACGCCTCGCCGTTCGCTGCCTCGCCACTTGCCGCTCGCCGGTCGTTGCCTCGCCCGCGCTGCCTCGCCGCCGGACGCCGGACGGCATCGATCTGATGCATATACGGCAGGTACGTATGTATGTATATATATATATATATATATATATATATATTATATTATATTATATTAAAAATGGTTATATATATATATATATATATATATATATATATATATAATTAATCTTTTATATTTTTTGAATTTTGAATTTTATAAATTATTATTGTGTATATTTCAAAATTTTAGGAATAATTGTGTATATATTTTTGATTTTATACGTTATTGGGTAAATTATGAATTGTTGTGTGTGTATATGTGGAATTTTATGAAATATTGTTTATATATTATTGTGTATATTTCGAAATTTTAGGAATAATGCTACTTATGCTATAATATTAATATACACATCACTAATCACTAATACTATAATGCAGAAGGAGTTGAGTTTACTTTAGGGGGTCTGATCCAGTGCAAGATTGTTAGAATCTAGATATATAGCACTCTAGTAGGGCTTATTATGAGGACAATGGTTTAATTAAATATAATCTAAATTTATTTTGAAAATTATGACAACCATTAATTATAAAATTTCTAAATTTATTTTGGAAATTTCTTACATTTGCATCTTTATTTAGGTAAAGAATCATTTGTTGAAAATCGAGATTAAATTGGCTATAAAGTTAGCAGCCCTATTACTAGTGTGTAGGTCAGACGATGCTACATCCAATTTAATATGCAACTAGTAGCAATTTACCATAGATTATATGTATAATTGTTAGGAGAATATTACATTTAAATTATCAAGTCTTTTTTTTAAAATAAATGTTGAGATTAATATTACTAACTATTTTCATAGGGTGATAAGGTATTGGCTCGATCCTAAATCAACTCTGAAAAATATTTAAAGTCACAAAATACTCTGTATGAATGTTGGTGTGTCTGACCTATTCTCACTTTCTCTTTACATTAAACTTTTCTGCTTTGCTTACTTAAAAAAAAAAAAAAAAAAAAAAAAGAAACTTTTCTGCTTTGCTACTTCGAAAATATTTGATTGGTTTATTTTTTGTTAGGCGTCAATCGGGTTTGACTAAGTTCAGTCCTTGCTGCGCTCCTCCTCCACTGTTCTTCGCCGGTCTCGGGTACGCAATTTGTCTATTGTGTTTAGCAAGATTCAATTCACATTGTGTTTGACATGTTCTTTGGTTAGTTAGGATGTATAAGAAAGCATCTAGAATTGACAAATGGTTATTATTATTATACCTAGATTGCCTTGTACGTATTATTATAATATATTTTTATTATATATTATATTTACTTATTTACGTATAACTAATAAATTACTTATTTGTAGTGAGCATTGGATGCTGATGGCGATTTGTCCTAGATTAAATGAAATTTTTTGGTTTGATTCACTTGGTCATGGGCCGCGTGAAGATATTAAACATATAATGGAAATGTATGTAAATTTATATAATGAATTAATAGTTATTATTAAAGTAGTGATGCCAAATATTTACATATATTTTATGTCTTATATGAATAGGTGTATGACTGCAACAAGCATGATGAGTGGAAAGAAACAATCTCGTCCAACGAAATGGACTACATGTTTGGTAAGTACTTCTTTCACTTTGTAAATCATGCAAACTTATTGTTTTTTATTACTTTTTTTTATAATTTTATTGTAATTCAAATGTAGTGTGCTATACAAAAAGGAAGCACCGAATGTGGTTATTATGTGATGAAATTCATGTGGGAAATTGTTTCCAACAACCTAAGCAAAGGAATGGATAAGGCAAGTAATTTAATAATACATATTTCTTCTTCAAATGTTGTTTAAAATATTTGCTTATTTATTATTATTATTTTTTTTTTTTGAACTTTGTAGATTTTGGAAAGACAAGGACGATTGCCCTACAACAAACAAGAGATTGATGACGTTAGAAACAAATGGTCTAAGTTTCTTATTGATGAATGGGTTAATAAAACGTTAATTTGATACTAGTTTATGTTTAAAAACTACTTTGTGTTTATTGGTTTGATGTTAATTAGTAGTTTTGTTGCATTGTGTTATTTATACTAATTTTAGTTTTAGTAGCTTAATTAGTTTCATGTTTAGTATGTAGTTTGAATTAGTTGATGTTGATGTTGAATGTAACTAGCTGCACAGGTTCTGATTGCACAGCAGGTTTGGCTAGAAAGCATAAAACGTTTCCAGTATAAAAAAAAAAAAATTAATACATACGACGTCGGCTATTGGGCTTAGC